GATATGCTGAAGCTATTGCACCCTGATAGATCTTTCATGGACTGACCACCTGTTGCTTTGACACAAGCAGAATGTAAATTCTGGGACCCTGAACCGGTCCGAGGAGGGAGATGAGGCAGGTGTAGTGAACAGACAAGAGCCTTAAATGCTGGACATGAGAATGAAGCAAAAGCAGCTCATGCTCTGCTGATGTTTCCCTTTCACTGAGGGGGTGGTCCTGCTGGCGGTTGGTTCTGGAGGTGCCACACATCCCTGCAGGTTTGATTGATGGCAGCACATGCAAGACTTTTCTGAGACTGCTGGGGCTAAATGTGGTCACCGGGGTGGGATATCACACCAGCCTCCAGCCAAATACTGGTAGATCCTGGCTCCGGTCCACTTAACCAGCTGACGTTCAGAGTTCTGGTTCCTTCCTGAGAACAGACCTGTGGTTGGGCTGGAGGTGGGCAGTGAGTTGTAGCCGTGTGAGCTCCATCAGAGACATACGTTCCTTCATCCTCCCCAGCTGCTGGCTCTCTGAACAGTGTCTGTCGCAGACTTCTTGGTTTGGGTTAAAAAGCAGCTTAAGTTTTGCAGTATTTGGCTCCGACACCAGAAAATGTTCAGGTTTCTGATCAGCTGGTTTCTGGTTGATGTGGAGGTTTCAGGGCTTTAACCATCTCAGCTCCACTTAGCTTCTGGGCATGTTTCTTTGCTCTGCTCACGTTTTTACTCTCTGTCGGCTCTTTTCTCACCGCAGTGTGAAGTCCTGGACCTCCGTAGAAGTAGAGGGAAGTCAGTCTGTTGTAGTATTTAGCTCTGAATGCTAGTGCAGCAAAAGTTGGATTTATTTTATTGTGTTTTTACAAAAATTGCAAAAGCCTGGAATCAACAAGGCTCCACAGATGTTACCAACACTGTAAAATCAAATCAGATCAAATCAGATCAGGTTTATTGTCATCTTGCTGTACATACACAGTAGTACAGGCAAGATGAGAACGTTTCTTCAGGATGGAAACATGGAGGCTCCACATACTGGAGATATTTGGCTGCTTCCAAGCGTTGTCCACCGTGTTCCACCATCAGTAGAAAGATGTTCCACCATCAGCTGTAGAAAGATGTTCCACCATCAG